TTTAAAGCTGCAGTCCGTAAGTTTTGCCTCTTTGTCGCCATCTCTGTTTGAAATCCTGGAATTGCAGCTGTGTGCGGAATTATCTTACTTGCGTGGGTTGTGAGTCGGCACGGCTCCAGCGTGGATGAATCTAATGCTTTGAGGAGTATGTGTGGCTGTCAGTCACCGCACCGGTGTGGATATTTACTGTACTTAAATCACAGATTCTAGCCTACATCTTGGAATATGACCCAAATAAGAATTTTTACCGTATATTGCCATCTGAACAAGTAAGTAACAAGTCTGCCACGTTTGTTCTGACCAACTGAAGAAAAAAGCATTACCATAAATCTCGCTACCAATGGTGATTAAATCTAAAGATCGGGTAGCTCATAACACATCAAACCATTCAAATTATTATTATTGTTATACTTTATTCTCAAATGATTAATGTTAACAACATCAGCATTGGTGACTATGTGTATAGTGGGTATTAGCGTGTAGATTTCGATTTCTGTACAGTCTAATCTCTATTTGTCATACCACTCGAATTTCATATTAAGAAATTATTTTAACCCGAAAGGCAAATTCTCTTTAAACCCAAAAGTTCTCTTTAAAATACAAATCTTGTGTAATCCCACATATGCTATCTGTAATCAGATTTAAATTTTAAATTCCATTTAAAACCGCAATATAATCTAATTTCAGTCACATGTGTTTCATAAACACATAATCCTTTCTGGATTACAATACACCATCAAAATGATACGTTTAATTATTCGGCTGCTGTGAGAAAAGGCTATAAACGATCCGCCAGCTGCAGGATCCTCACATGCGATAGTCTAGTAGCCGGGACAACTTCTTTATGTTTACAGACGTGACGTAATGACGCAGTGCCATGCTCGAATTTCCCACGAATTCCTACCCATTAAAAAACTTTATTATATGCTAACCGTTGTGAATCGGGCTAAAGTAAGGTGATAGTTTTGAACACTGGCTGGTTATGTACTTGCTCAAATATTGATTTCGGATCATTTTTAGCCAAAAAAAAGATACGGACTGCAGCTTTAACTATTGATTTCATATTTTATGTACTTCTGCTTCTGATTTTTAACCATTTATCTAAGGCTGATGATACACGGGGCAACTTTTTGAGCAATTTTATTGGGCAATTTTTTTTGAACAAAATGTTGCTTGAGCACTTTCTCATTTAGGATGGCTAACAAATTTTTATCTGGGTACTTTAGATCGGTCGTGGGCCCTGTGTCTCACCTGGTTGCCCGTCGACGGCAACATTGCTCAAAAAGTTATCATCAGCCTAAGACATAACTGGTTTGTTAAATACTTCTGCTTCTGATTTTTAACCATTTATCTAAGGCTGATGATACACGGGGCAACTTTTTGAGCAATTTTATTGGGCAATTTTTTTTGAACAAAATGTTGCTTGGGCACTTTCTCATTTAGGATGGCTAACAAATTTTTATCTGGGTACTTTAGATCGGTCGTGGGCCCTGTGTCTCACCTGGTTGCCCGTCGACGGCAACATTGCTCAAAAAGTTATCATCAGCCTAAGACATAACTGGTTTGCTCCTGAGACCCAGCTATGGAGTTTTTGTCTCTGTAGTGGACATTATATTTGAGTGAATTTCTCTGAGACCTCACATGTCGCCGTTTTAAGTCTGGATGTCCTGTACGAAGCACATTCAGGGCTTTCCAGAGACACCACTAATATGCAAATTAGATACAGTGTATAGATAACATTGTGCTTAATGGGAAAACCAGTTTATGGAATTTTTACACACATATTGCATAAAGCAAAATGGTATATCAAATCATTTTGTTATGTATTTTATAACATAGTTGAGAACCATCCTTAAACAAAGTTAGTTATAAAAAAATCCTGAAACCTAAAAATTGATTGGTGATTTAAAAAAATTCCCATTGTTTTTGCCTTTTCATGTCTACTCTTGCCATTTTATTTTTAGAAAGACGGAGTCCTGGTGTCCTCTACAGAGGACATAGCATAACTTATGAATAAAATATAATTTTTCAAAAATGTTATTTTACCATTTTTTTCTTATGCTCTAAACAATGTAATGACATGAAAAAATACTAAATTCACAAAGCTTTTTTATTATTTTTTGGAAGCCACCTATTACTGTAATTATGAACAGGTACCATATGTACACTGGAATTAAGTTTATGTGCTTCTTGCTAACATAGAAATAGCAGATGGTAATGAGTACAAACATTTTCTTTCTGACCAGAGTTAAGACTTTATGAAATTGTGGTCTCTAGATATGGCTTAAGTTTATAGGATTTTTACACTCACTTCATCACCTACTAGGCAAAAGTCTTAAATAGCACATCTCTCTACAGCAAACCACACATTTTGAGGTACCTTTCATGCCCATAGCACAGATGTTGTAGGACGAATTAAGCACTGAAGTGCTGTATTTAGAGGTATGTTTCAACCACTAACCCATCACTATGAACTATAGTAATAGTGATAGTGATGATATGAGGCTTAGCAAGTACCAATAATGACAGCCAAAAACTACCCAAGTTACAACAAGCACCAAATGACAAAAGCTGAAGGGCACACACACACACACACAAACTCATAATGAAATAATAATATTCAATATTCTGGACACAATCACGGTTGGAACAAGAAAGTTTATAAAGGTTGCATAAAGTTGGCAAACCAGTCCATGCAACTTTTTAAAGTGTTTAAAAGTTAAACGCAAATGTTTGTTGGTTTGCCACAGCATGAACACTAGTGCATTGGCCTTTTACCTTGTCATCTGCTGCTGTTTTGTCTTTCTTGTCTCCATCTTGCTTTCCTAAAGGATAAAGTGTGACCATTCAAAATATCTTTTTGGAATTAAAGAATATATAAAGCCGGTACTAACGGTTTAAAATGCGAAATCTTTTTTCTACCCTCTCAAAATACCAGAATGAACAGGCCAATCTCATATTGTTAGGTGAAAGAGATCAATAAGCTGTTAAGCCTGTGATTATATACTGTATATTGCTGTCAGTAGGTGTAGTGTTCTCTTTCGTAGTAACTTGGGCTTGTTGATGGCACAGTGGGAACACATCAGTGGTCACATGCTCTGAAGTCCTACAGAATCACAACAGTTTTCTGGTACAGTTCAATGGTACACAATGCCCATAAGTAGCTATGTCATCATAGCGTACTAAGCGCAGGCTTTGCGTCATCATGTCAGATTCTTCAGTGCCAAGATTGTCTCAGCCCATTATTCCTATGACTAACTGGAAGGGTCTACCTCTTTCATGTGATTGATTATTGGTGACAACATGCTCAGTATGTATGTTGCCTGTTTGGAAGTTTGTTGCACCAGGGCTGCATTGGAGGGATCTGATTGCCCGCACTGCAAACTTATAAATGCTAACTTCTGTGCACTGATGTTAGCAACACTCTACATAAGCAGTGTTGAGAGATGAGCATTTGGGCATCAAGCTCTCCAGACTGCCTGTTGAGTTCACTTGAAGGTCCCTGTTTCCCAGCCCTGAAGCACATTCTGCGTTTTCCTATAGGCTAGAAGACGAAGAGCAACATGATATGTCTATGATGGAATTAGAATCTGTGGAGTTCACTGGAGGCCAAGCTGAAGGCTGACTTTAAAGCCACAGTGATGCTTACAAATCTGCTTGGGATCACCTCCCATGCATTGGAAAATGACATGTATTGCACCTCCCATGTAATGGATGGATGAGACCCTGACTGAGGAATAAAAGTCCATTTTAGATGATTGTTTTCTGCTTTCACGCCTAGCTGACTGCTTGCATTTGTTTGTACATTTGTTTGTTTTACTGGTTTACAGACACTAGAGAAGAGGGGAGAGTCTAGCCTATTTTCAGGCACTGCGTAATATCATTGCGCCTGCTGCACCAATGGTAGTACACGATGTAACTACAGAAGAGGAAATAAATAGGAAAAATATAGAAACTCTTTATGATGCTAACAGTCTAATCAGATTCAGTGATCTATGCTAAGCTACAGCTAAAAGTGCTAGCGCCAGACCCGGAGATCGGCTGAATGGATTAGAAAACGGTAAAACTCAACTGTTTAACTCTAGGGGAGTTGGAAAATGAGCCTATTTTCAAAAATAGTGGAGTGTTCCTTTAAGCCTGTCCACCTTTTTCTTCAACGCGGAAGTAAGCCTATGGGTGAGACTTCCGGTTCATTAGCCGCTGTAGGTAAATAACGACAAGAATATCAACGTGCAGTAAACGGTAAAACTGTCTGCACTACAAACCAGTGTGTTCATAATTAAGTTAATACATTAAAATAATATGATAAGACACACCAACTTTCAATATCAAGCAGCAAAACAAACTGTTTTGTTCAGCTAAAAATAGCTGGACGGAGTGTACGCAGATGAGACCGGAAGCCAAATCGATAGAATTTACAAATGGCCGTGCCCATTTTTACGACAAGAAAAAGGTGGATACTGAGGGTTTGCTGACTACAGTGTCAGCAGAATATTCAGTACATAAAAATATTCACTATAGGGAAGACACACAACCACACATAAAACTGTTTCTTGTTGTTGGGGAGTGTTTAGATTTGATTGAAATGTGAACTTACGAACAATCATTCGTGCACAGACGTCACAAAACTTGGGTTTCTTGCAGTAGTGGTCCTTAAATTTGTGTGGTCTGTCATTGACCTGAACTACAGGCTCAGGGGTCGGAGGAGGAGGGGCCTCTTCTTCCTCCATCTCTTCATCATACACAAAGTAAACCTGAGGAGGACAGAAAGTGAGCTGTGTGTACATGATACCGACACAAAGAGAGAGACTGACATACGCACAGTGTTGTCGTCCTCCTTTACAACATTGTCTGGAGCTGGAGGGTTATCATGAATATCCAGCGAATCTTTGTCCTCGAGTCTGAAACACAATCAGCAGTTAAATAGTTGTCTACTTACATAATGTTCCTGAAAGACAATATAATCTGAGGAGACACTCACTGGTCATACTGAGCCATAAATACAGCCTCTTCAGCCTGCAGTCAGTCAGGAGAATTCAGCACCTACACAACCATGACACGTAAACTGATTTGATGCTATTAAAATAGTTTTAATATGAACAGCCCTGCTCCTGGAGAAGTGTTTAAGATCCTTGAATTAAAGTTTTGCTAATTAACTAACTAAATAAAGTTTATTCAAGTATAAGTCATCAATATATGCTTCAGAAAAGTAGTCTATCAAATACTTTTTTACACATGCTGGAGTACTAACAGAAACCAATATATGTTTTACATACTATCTTATAAACTTACATATTCAAGTTCATAGTAACAAGTCAGCTTTGTGGTAGAATAAATAGCTTTGGCTTGTATCACTTGCTTCATTCATTAATGAATCAGCTGATTTGAATGAATTGGTTGAGTTAATGATTCTAGTATAATTTCACATTTCTATATTCAAAATGTTATATTTAAAACATTAATTATACATTATTGATACAATTGTAATTGCACTGTAAATACATATAAATGTGTCTTCAGATGCAGCTTCTGTGAGCCCAGTCTCATGAAAGTGCGTATAAATAGTACGCCAAATAAAAATGAAAACTTGTGGTATTGATATGTAAAAATGGACGTTGGCATGTATATTCTACGCACGTGTTTGGCGTGCATTTAATATGCAGTTTTCGCATGCATATGATACGCAGTTTTCGCGTACATATGATACGCATCTACCCCACAACCCTAAACCTACACATCGCGTAGCATATACACGCCAAAGTCCATTTTTGCATATCAATCATTTTTATTTGCCTCTTTTTTATGTTGCCATAGCAGATTTAAATTTTTTATTTTAGTGTGATTTGCATGAAACTTTATAATTTTAAGTTCCTCTTAAAATTTCAACACATTTTGCCTGATACGCATCTACCCCACAACCCTAAACCTACCCATCGCGTAGCATATACACGCCGAAGTCCATTTTTGCATATCAATCATTTTTATTTGCCTCTTTTTTTATGTTGCCATAGCAGATTTAAATTTTTAATTTTAGTGTGATTTGCATGAAACTTTATAATTTTAAGTTCCTCTTAAAATTTCAACACATTTTGCCCCATTTGTGTTTTATTTTTTTTATGTTTATACCATGAATGTTGTCACCCCACATTTTTAGTGCCTGATATTAAATATATAAAAAATATATATATATAAAAAATATTTTGTTATTTTTTACTTGTTGCACATTTAAATTATCAGTAACTTGTGCCCCATTTGTGTTTTATTTTTTTTATGTTTATACCATGAATGTTGTCACCCCACATTTTTAGTGCCTGATGGAATATTTTGTTATTTTTTACTTGTTGCACATTTAAATTATCAGTAACTTTGATATTTTAGACAGTAAAGTGTATCAGGGAAAACCGTGTATATTTACAAAGTGGTTTAACTTTACTGCCTAACAAGTGACTGAAGACAAATATAGAGTCATTGAAAATCCTGCTGTGCAGATTTGTCAATGTGTATCTGATGTTAGTAAAGTCTAGCTTACTTTTGACAAAGTACCAATTATTTGTACCAATTATTGAACTTTGTTGTTATTATTGTCCTTACTTCTCATAACTTATTAAGAAAAGTTCACAATGACTGTACAGGAGCAGCCATATTAATTTTAAAATAAGTACATCAGATTGCAGAAGTTTATGTATCATTGCATAATGAAACATGAAATATTTGTCCAGTCAAAAACATCAACTAATTTCCTCATGGGGACCAAAAAAGTGTCCCCACAAGGTGAAAATTTACTGGCATTACTATACTTGTGGAGACATTTGGTCCTCATATAGGGAATATCAGGCACACACACACACATACAGTTTCTATTCCTCTATTTGAGGCCAACTAAATTAGGATTCCTCTCTGGGCAGAATTTCAGAAGAAATACAATGGATATTTTGCATGTAGCAAATAAATGTAAATATTATAATGTGTAAATGTACACAATATCAATAGGAGGAGTGAATCATGTGACCTAAACTATAATAAATATACATACCTGTTAATGATGTTTACTATAATCCAATGTCTCCAATGAGTTATCAATCAGAGGTGTTGTCCTAGAGCAAGTTAATCGTAACTCATTAATAAGCAGACTGGTTTGAGCTGAGGAACTAACACTTGTACGTGTACACTCTGAGTGTTTTAAACAGATGGTAGATGACGAACAGTAATAAGACCCTCTCTCGCTGTGTCCATTTGACAGACATGAACATATGCAGTCAGTTCTAGTCACTCACAGATTCACTGCAGGCCGGTCAGTTTTCACCCTAGGTGTAACAAAGATCATAACAACAGAACATTTTTCCTTTTTCAAGGTGCAACTGAAAACTGTTCCTAGCAAACGCTCACAAACTCCACTACCAACATATTGTTTAACAATATGGTATTTTTAAAACCCTTTGGTATTTTTGACATTTCTTCCTACTTACATTCACAGAGTTGTGTGGTTGAAAGTACAGCTTTACAGTGATATACGTTTACTAGAATTCGCTCTTTCGGCAGAAAAAAAATGATTTAGTTTAGCCTTTATATTCAGTGACTTACTCAGGTTAAACTTTTCTTTTTTTGGAACTAAAAAGGTGTTACGTTATAATGGATACAATCAATTGAAGCATCAAGTCACTTTCAAAAGGTGATTTACTCTATTTTGAGTACCATATCCAAACTATAAACTTTTATCTTACTACTACTGTGATTATTTGAATGTGTTGTATCACGGATATAGTGATAATGTGTGGCTGAAGAGACTGTTTGTGAAGCAGTTCCATACCTACAGAATATATTAAAGGGGTCATATAATGCGATTTCAGTTGTTCCTTTCTCTTTGGAGTGTTACAAGCTCTTGGTGCATAAAGAAGATCTGTAAAGTTGCAAAGACTAAAGTCTCAAATCCAAATAGATATTCTTTATAAAAGTTAAGAGTCAACCACGCCTACCTAAAACGCCTCGTTCTAACACGCCCCCACATGTCTACATCACTATGTGGGAAGATTTGCATAACGCCGCCCAAATGTTCACACAAAGAAAGAAGGTGTAACTTTTATTCTTGCTGTTGCCGCCGTCATGTCGTGAAGACGCTGTGTTTCCTTGTGAAAGCGAAACTACTTTGTTTGGCTTCCAAAAGAAGACACGACTAGAAATCAGTGGTTAAGTTGTATTTACAACACTGTTCCAGAACACTTCAACCCAAATATTCAGATGTGTGCAGCGCATTTTATGGAGGACTGTGTCCTGATCCTGGGAGAGTAGACCAGTGTTTCCCAACCTTTTTTTTAGTCGCGGCACCCTTTGGAAATTTTAACAAATTTGTGGCACCCTACAAAATTAATTTTGTCACAATATTTGAATTTCTAACTTCAATGACAATATGATACTTTGAAAAGTATCGATATTCAGTACAGCAGGGAAGAACTGCAGAATGTGTCATATATATATATATATGTGTATATGTATGTCAGATATTTTTTATATTATTAATTGTTTTGTCCATGGAGGCAATCAGTAGGCTAATTTCTAATGAGGACACCAATTTATATGACAGATTTTAATGTAGGCTTTTATTCATATGTAAACATTATTTAATTACCATTATAACTTCATCGGTTATATCTCACAAATTTTTGCTCACTCTGTGTATTTTCAATTTTACAGTGGGGTAATGTTGTTGCAGCTTGATTTCAAACTTTGAATTGAATAAAAAAGTACAAGTAAACAGTCAATAATAGAATAAGAACAAATAAATAAATTAATAGTGATGGCACAAATAAAAAATAATGACAGGCCTTCGAAATAAATTGCTTTTTAGTTTTTCAGGTCTAACAGTAGGGCTCTTAAGAGATTTTTTATTTTTTTTTACCAATTATGCAAATAATGTTTAGTCCTAGAAAGCTATATTATTATCAGAACACATGAGCATAACATACGGTTAGCAGATCAATGAATGAGAGGGCAGCGTTACCAGAGTTGCTCATATACCACACCATGTTACAACACATTAGGGCTATTGCAGACAGAAACAATACTGTACTACATCCATGTTTCCTGTCAGCTCCATTTTTGAGTGGACTTTGCTGTTCCGATGAGCATGAACGGTATACGAGTGGAGCGACTGAGCAGAGCGCACACGCATAGAGCGGGATAATACGCAGAGCGTCACACCACGTGAAAGTGAAAGCGGAGCGGTGAACTAATTTTCGGCAGCCGAAATTTTGGTGCATTTCTAATTATTGGTGACATCAGAAATGGATATTATATAATAGATGCTTTTTT